CGACAAATCAAAGATATCAATATGACGGTTTACAATAATTACATGATATAAACGTAAGTCATGTGTCATCTTTGCGACTAACACCAACAGGAACAGATGGGGAGTAGATATATAGCACACAATGATTGGTAAAAGATGACCTAGATATAAGGTAAACTTTGTGACTGACCCCTTGACCGTGGGAGACCGGGGACGTGGCACTGACAGAACTACACAACTGCTGGTCGGTGGGCGGGGCCTTAAGTGTATATGTAACTCCAATTCATAGCTAAAAGACTGGGTTTGGGTAGGGGAACAAACGTTGTTCACCAACAAACAGATCGATGGAGGGTTAACGTAAGCTTGTGATAATGAGTGAGTGAGTGAGTTTAGTTTAACGCCGCTTTTAACAGTATTCCAGTCATATCACGGCGTGTCAGCTTAATGTGGGAGGAAAGCCCGAAGTGATGCAGGTCTGAGAAGTTTACCACTTTGGTGAAACCCACGAGCACGGGTATGTGTGATAATGATAACGGTGATTTATGATTTGATGATACTTATGGGTAATGATTGATGGCGAGGATGATGATGTTTATGAGGATGGTGAAGACGACGACAACGATGATGATGATGACGACGGTGATGATGATGATGATGATAATGATGATGACGACAGTGATGATGATGAAGATTATGATGATGATGATGATGATGATGCTGATGCTGATGCTAATTACGACGACGATGACGGTGATTTAGTATTTGATGATAATTATGGGTAATGACGACTGACATTCAGTTGAAAAAGTTAACAACAGCTACAACATTCCGTTCAAACAATTCATAACGTGTACATGCGGGCCTTCAAAGACATCGATGTGTTTGGTGCGGGTTTTAAATACAGAGAAATTAACAACGTTCCTGTCAATCAGATTGTGATATATGCAATGTTTGCATCAACAATTCAAAGACACATTATCTCAATGACGATCAGCCAGCTCCACAGTGACCATGTAACGCTGTAATGTACATCGCTCTCAGGTGTGATGGATCATTAATGAACAAACCATTATGTACGACTAACGAACGAAGGTGTCGAATCCATTTAATGTCTCGACACAATGAATTATATATTGATGTAGGGCTGTTAAAAGAGTCGTCTTTTTTCTCAACCGTTCACGTGACTTTTGCTGCCAATTTAATGATGACCACTTTGGGGACGAGGCCATCAGAAACATGAGCTGATTCAACACACCGGTAATGGCGGGTCACATTACACTTGGCCAAGTCACGTGTTGGAAGTATGAATCATTTATGCGGAAAATAGATTTTTTTCATTGCCATCTATTTTGGATGGAAAGGCAATAAAAGTGGTCTACTTGTTTTAATCTCGGCCATGGCATGTTTGAGATATACAAACGAGTTTCAGATATGTTGATTCCTATTGGGTTTAAGAATGTTGACAATTGTTTGTAGTTTTGTGTGACTAAGGGCTTATTTCACGGATACTGATACAAGACGGTGACTGGTAAAACTTATGCATTATAATAGGGTTTGTGTTTGTCTCTGTAAAGGTTGGGCGGGTGTGTGGAACTCAGTTGACAAGGGATTCAGATATCCCGAAATTCGTTTAAGAATGTTTAAGAAAACGCAAGTGTTCCAATAAACGTCTGTATCTGGTTTAGACTTTTTAAAAAAGAAGTTTCATTTCATTTCCGGAATATGACTAAAATGTCTTTACATCATTTACATCATTTCCGGTCTCATTAACATCATTTCCGGTTTGAATTGGTCCCTTCTGAGAGTCTATGGATGGGGTGGTCAGGCTCGGTGACTTGGCTGATGACGTGTTAACGTACCAAAACGTGAAACGGTGCTCATTATGTCAATCACTGGATTGTCTGGTCGAGACTCGCTTATTTCCAGGAGGCCGTCATATTGCTGGAATATTGCTGAGTGCGGCGTACAACAACAAACGGACATGTAAACCAAGTGGCGGCGTGACGTGATGGTTTACTGGTTTGCCACACTCAACAATATTCCAGCTGCATGACGGCTTCTGTAGATAATCCAGTCTTTTGTTTCCATGGAAAGAGACTGGCAATTGATTGACGTCATGAGATCGGTTATCATTACACGTAATATAAGTTTTGTATAATGATTGTCATGGAAACGCGATTAGACCGGAGTTTAATCATCCCTTCCACAATCCTCACACGCTCTGTGTAGCCACAGTGCCAAAGTTCAGCGATAGGACATGCATCCAGATAAACAGAAGGCTAAGACTGCAACCACGTTGTGTGTGTTGGTGGAGGAGGGGTAATTAGTCCATGGTGATGAGGCCGGAAACCTCGAGGCGAACTCCTGACTATTTCTGGTGACCTGATTACATGGAATTTCCAATCAGCAAATTATCAAACCCTCACAACAGCTGCAACACTGAAGGTGAAGGTCATTCCAATATAACAATATTCGTCATTCGTCCTTGCAATAAATGCCAATTATAATTGAAACATGCTTCACTCGGCACGGGGAATAGCAATGTACGTACGATGTGTGTTATTAGTATTTCTGAATGCAGACACTTATAGGACCGCCTCCGTGGTCTAGTGGTAGAGCGGAAGGTCCGGGGTTCGATCCCCGGACGCGTCATACCAAAGAACGTTAAAAGATGGTACTTGTTGTTACCCTGCCTGGCGCTCGGCATAAGGGGGTAAACAAGAACTTGTCGGCACGGAGTCAGTATACTGTGTCTGAGTGGGGTATTCATGTTAAACTGCGGCATGGTACATCAGTGGAATAGCACAATAAAATCGGCATCACTCCGGACTAGTACCAGCAGCCACACACACACACACACGTACATGCACGTCGCTATGTAAGTGCAATAATCTTGGACGCGACGTAAAACCCAATTTTACCTCACCTCTTACCACTTCTTACAGATGAGCAGGTTATGACACACGTTCTTCTGTTTATAGTTCTCGTAAAAATATTGCGTTACAATCGTTGATAAAAACACAATTTGTTTTTATAATTAATGTATAACTGTTTCAATAGTGAGATTCGATTGTCAGAGGCAGCTTTCCCCAACAGGTTAATATATGATCCACTCCTTTGCCAGACCCAGGCTCCATTATTTACATGCCGCCTTCAAAACAGCAAACAAGATAGAATCCAGAGATAAGACTTAACATATTTATATGCCATTCATACATGTAGACATGTTGATACACTCCTGTACATCTGAAGCATACCCGCATGTCAGAAAATACATTGATGCTGGTCGACGTGTGCGCAGAACGTTACCCCAAAGTCCATTTGACCTACACTACTCAAACGGAGTTAAGGATCACCCGATTCTTTCATATTACTGCAGGTAATCCCTCATTTCAGGGTAGATTAACAATAGTAATATGAAAGAATCGATGATCCTTAACTTCTTTTGAGTAGTATATTTCAAGGGTTCATCTGAGAATTTCCGATATGACCCCAATTCCAATAATATTTGTTGAAATCCCAGGCTGTCCAAAGATATACCGTTTATATCGGTTATTGCCAGCTGTTTTAAAGTCGAAACAAAATATATCGTGAGGGGATCTCATCGAGTGTAGTGCGAGACATAAGTTAAAATATGGATACTAATTCTTCCTGTTGCAAAAGCCATGCTTCACACGACACTATCGAGTTTCTTTGTTTGTTTGTTGTTTAACGCCGAGCTCAACAATATTCCCGCTATATGACGGCGATCTGTAAATAATCGGGTCTAGACCAAACAATCTAGTGACTGATATCATGAGCATCGATCTACGCAATGGGGATACGATGACATGCATCAATCAAATCAGCGAGCCTGACCACCCGATTCCGTTAGTCGCCTCTTGCGACAAGCATAGTAGCCTTTTACGGCAAGCATGGGTTGCTGAAGACATTCTAAGCCCAGATCTTCACGAGTCCTTTCGGGTTTTTGCTATGCAGTATTTCTGTCATCTCGTTTTGTGCTTTGCGTGAAATATGACACCGTTTCCACATTTCAGACCACCTACGTTATTGTCTTATTAATAAGTTTCTGGCCACAGCGCTTATCTCCACCTGCGCCTGCGTGTGGAGATGAACCAGCTAACTGACGGAGTAGATTTCACTTGTGTCATGTTATAAAGTCCTGATGAAAATCATTTTGTAATTTCAACATTCTACGGGGGCCCGAGGCCATTTGGAGTGTTTTATCCAACCTGCTCAGGGAATATTGTATTATGTCGCCGGGGGACAAACTGGTAATTTGAACCGTTACTTCCTAGATTATGTTACAAGCTGTTAAGTCGAAATATATTTGATTTTGTAAGTTAAAACGTGGCTATCCGGCGTGTTATTACTGCGCTGAGTGCACGCAGCTCACATAACGAGAGGGTGTACCCGCCTGTGTTATGATGGCGGGACCCATGATAGCTGAGGCTGATGGGTGTGACATTGACAGAGAGGAATATAGAATATTTATCGCGAATTCATAAAACTGAATTGTGTCCCCTTTTACCATTAACACAGTGTGAATGAGTGTTGTGTTACGCTTGTAACAATATTCCATCAATATCTCGGCGGCTAACGCCATGCAATACTATACTATATGAGTGCATGGAGTTGTTGGTGTGGCCAGAGCTTACCCTATTCAACACTTCCTGAACCTGACACCTGCAAGCAGCCATTGTCCACCCACACAGAATCAATACAACCCACAACCCTTTTTCGCCTACACTCGTCCAGGGAACGCTCTGTGTTCACCGAAAACAACTACGACATATCAAATGATGTTAGTTCTGATTAGGGCGATACATTCATTAAGAGACAAACTCTCCAAGCGATACTGTATTGTTCGGTTTGTTGCGCGGGGATGTGGAGTGTTTGGCGGTCATAAACACCGCCATGCAGTCATCGGGAGATCGAGGGATCCACTTCACATCTCTCAGTGTGGCAGTGACCACTTATAATGCCGTATGGACCTGCGTGACGTGAACGATTACAAGACTCACAAATGCCCTAAAAACGTGGGTTGGGAAACAAGTCTTTGAGGTCAGATCTGTTGAAAGCATCATTCGTCATGGGGTTAAATCAAAATCTCGTACACATCACACGCCTCTGTACGTGGTTCCAGCTCTTTATAAGTCCCACAAGGACATCTGCCTGTTTCACAGTCACGTGAGACGTACGTGATTGTATAAGGAGAACTTGTTTTGTAGGCATGTGAAGGGCACCAGGTTTGGTACATCGCCACGCTAAACACCGGATGCCATGCTCTGCGAGTTGGATGTGATGGTAGTAGAGGAGTCGTGGCACAGAGTGTCAGGAAGGGGGCCATGAGTCTGAGACAGGTAGCTTGTGCCACTGACCCCTCCTTGTCAGACATCTTGCACATCACTGCATGTCCTATACTCCAATAGAAGACTGTACCGCGTTCTTAGTCTTGGCGCTGATATTTTGGAGACCATTCCAGAGTCTGAGACACATGTCACTGATAGGATGACGGTCTTCTGGAGCGCTGAGGCTTGTTCTACAACTGTGATGATCCTTAGCATGATATATCACTGGTTGTGTTGCCAGATGGTCGGAGGAGAGTGAAGCAGAACCTTTTTGTGGAACTGATTTTCAACACGCCATTTCCAGTCCCAAACGATTCGTTTAGCATTTAAACCTATTCGCGGGACACTTACGTGACAATGGATTTATTTAATATTCTCCTAGAACCTCAACACAACTGACATTTTTACATAATAGATCAACAAATGCGAGCTTCAGAGTGACCTCTTCTGTGGAGCAGGACCGATGTGAATAACACGCTCTTGGGGCTGATGGTTCTAAGTGTTTCCCGTTACTTCATCGCCCCTTGACGACGACTAATACCACAGTGCTAACACGCTAAGCAGTGAGTAGCTAATGCTTGTTATTTGGAGGCTTCATGTTCACCAGGAACTGCCTGTAACCATTACAGAACCGTTACATCCGTCTCACGGCCGAGCACCTCACCACGAGCACGCAGGTAAGTGCGGATGCTTAGCTCCTACACAAAGTGGGCGCAAATTGGATTCGGATGTTCACGAAGCTCCTTTGATGATGTGCATTAAGGGGTCAGTGGACGTCCCCTGTTTTACACCAGCAATGATGTGTGTTTATCATGTTACAGTTAATACCGAGTTGGTTGTTTTCGTGACTGATTAGGGACATCCCTGTAAATGTTTATACATGCTTAAATTTACTTTCTCTTTATGAACGCCTACTGAAGGTCATGCTGTTGTAAGGTGATATTACATGTCGTCACTGACATTCAAACTTGTTGTCCAATTCCAATTCAATACATTTAAGAACATTGAAAATCCTGCACATAAACTGGGTACAATGTGTGAAGCCCATTTCTGGTGTCCCCCGCCGTGATATTGCTGGAATATTGCTAAAAGCTGCGTAAAACCATACTCACTCACTCACTCCCTGTACATAAACTACAGTGGTGTACTTTAGGTGAGGTGGGGTGAAATTGGGTTTAACGTCGCGTCCAAGATTATTGCACTTATATAGCGACGTGCATGTACGTGTATGTGTTTGAGTGGCTGATTGTACTAGTCCTAACTGATGCCGATTTATAGTGCTAGCTCACTGAGATACCATGCCACAGTTTAACATGAATACCCCACTCAGACACAGTATACTGACTCCGAGCCGACCAGTCCTTGTTTTAGCCCCGTAATGCCGAGCGCCAGACAGGGTAACAACAAGTACAATCTTTTAACGTCATTTTGGTATGCCGCGGCCGGGGATCGAACCCCGGACATTCCGCTCTCCGGGCGGACGCTCTACCACTAGACCACGGAGGCGGTCAGTAGTGTACTGTAGACACTTGCTGGTTCTATTATGAAGCTAGTTAATGGACTTTCAATTCTCACAACATCCTCACATCCATGCTCCCAACTTTATACATCTCGTTTACAAGACTTCTGGGTTTCTCATGTGCTCCGTGTATTGGTCATAGCGTTAGCTAGTCACATCGAAGACCCGAGTTCGATTCCCAACATGGGATCAATGTGAAGTCAATTCCGTCGTCGTATGGCTGACAGAGTGCGCAAGTGGCGTAGGATTATACCACGCTCGCACGTATCTTCTGCATTCAACAATAGACATGAGTCTCTTGGTATCTGGTTAGATCACTATGTACTGTCTATAGACATACAGTCTCTGGGTATCTGGTTAGATCACTATGTACTGTCTATAGACATACAGTCTCTGGGTATCTGGTTAGATCACTATGTACTGTCTATAGACATACGGTCTGTGGGTATCTGGTTAGTTCACTATGTACTGTCTATAGACATACAGTCTCTGGGTATCTGGTTAGATCACTATGTACTGTCTATAGACATACAGTCTCTGGGTATCTGGTTAGATCACTATGTACTGTCTATAGACATACGGTCTGTGGGTATCTGGTTAGATCACTATGTACTGTCTATAGACATACAGTCTCTGGGTATCTGGTTAGATCACTATGTACACTGCCTACAGGCATACAGTCTCTGGGTATCTGGTTAGATCACTATGTACTGTCTATAGACATACGGTCTGTGGGTATCTAGTTACACCACTATGTACACTGTCTACAGGCATACAGTCTCTGGGTATCTGGTTAGATCACTATGTACTGTCTATAGTCATACGGTATGTGGGTATCTGGTTAAATCACTATGTACTGTCTATAGACATACAGTCTCTGGGTATCTGGTTAGATCACTATGTACACTCTCTATAGACATACGGTCTGTGGGTATCTGGTTAGATCACTATGTACTGTCTATAGACATACGGTCTGTGGGTATCTGGTTAGATCACTATGTACACTGCCTACGGGCATACAGTCTCTGGGTAACTTGTTAGATCATTATGTACTGTCTATAGACATAAGCCTCTGGGTATCTGGTTAGATAACTATGTAAACTGTCTATAGGCATGCAGTCTCTGGGTATCTTGTTAGATCACTATGTACTGTTTATATACATACAGTCTCTTTGTATCTGGTTAGATCACTATGTACACTGTCTACAGACATACAGACTCTGGGTATCTGGTTAGATCAATATGTACTGTCTACAGACATACAGACTCTGGGTATCTGGTTAGATCACTATGTACTGTCTATAGACATACGGTCTGTGGGTATCTGGTTAGATCGCTGTACACTCTACAGGCATACAGTCTCTGGGTATCTGGTTAGATCACTATGTACTGTCTACAGGCATACAGTCTCTGGGTATCTGGTTAGATCACTATGTACTGTCTATAGACATACAGTCTCTGGGTATCTGGTTAGATCACTATGTACTGTCTACAGGCATACAGTCTCTGGGTATCTGGTTAGATCACTATGTACTGTCTATAGACATACGGTATCTGGGTATCTGGTTAGATCACTATGTACTGTCTACAGGCATACAGTCTCTGGGTATCTGGTTAGATCACTATGTACACTGGCTACAGGCATACAGTCTCTGGGTATCTGGTAAGATCACTATGTACTGTCTATAGACATACGATCTGTGGGTATCTGGTTAGATCACTATGTACTGTCTATAGACATACAGTCTCTGGGTATCTGGTTCGATCACTATGTACTGTCTATAGGCATACGGTCTCTGGGAATCTGGTTAGATCACTATGTACCCTCTGTAGACATACAGTTTCTGGGTATCTGATTAGATCACTGCCGCGACCTGAAACCACAACAGGATCGAGACCGTGATTATATCATTTCAATCACGCCGACTTCTATTGTGAGATTTCCGCAAACTGCATGAACCATGCATCCTTGACATGACGTGCCAGCTGTGTAAACAGAAAGTTTGTTTGTCTATGACATCATGTAACGACAAGTGTCAGCCCTGAAAACGTAGGGACGCCAAGTGTATCTGATATCCCGTGACACGTGTCAGCTCTGTTAACAGTGAGTACGTAGGGACGCCAAGTATATCTGTGACATCCTGTGACACGTGTCAGCTGTGTAAACAGTGAGTATGTAGGGACGCCATGTATATCTGTGACATCCTGTGACACGTGTCAGATGTGTAAACAGTGAGTACGTAGGGATGCCATGTATATCTGTGACATATCGTGACACGTGTCAGCTGTGTAATACGGGAAGTGCGTAGGGACGCCAAGTATATCTGTGTTATTCTGTGACACGTTTCAGCTGTGTAAACAGCGAGTACGTAGGGACGCCAAGTATATCTGTGACATCCTGTGACACGTGTCAGCTGTGTAAACAGTGAGTACGTAGGGACGCCAAGTATATCTGTGTTATTCTATGACACGTGTCAGCTGTGTAAACAGCGAGTACGTAGGGACGCCAAGTATAGCTGTGTTATTCTGTGACACGTGTCAGCTGTGTGAACAGCGAGTACGTAGGGACGCCAAGTATATCTGTGTTATTCTATGACACGTGTCAGCTGTGTAAACAGTGAGTACGTAGGGACGCCAAGTATATCTGTGTTATTCTATGACACGTGTCAGCTGTGTAAACAGCGAGTACGTAGGGACGCCAAGTATATCTGTGTTATTCTGTGACACGTGTCAGCTGTGTGAACAGCGAGTACGTAGGGACGCCAAGTATAGCTGTGTTATTCTGTGACACGTTTCAGCTTGGCAACGTGTGATTCAGGAAGTACACCTCGGTTATCTATGTGATCTTTCAAATACATTTGCAGCGATGTCCATAATTACTAATTAAGTAATTAAGGCTCAAATTAAACCGATATCAGGACATAATTCCTGTTATGCGTGTGTCTCTCTGCATGCCAAATTCATACACGATAATACAGCACCTGGAGTTTCAGAATCAAAAGTACAGCATGCAGCTTAGTCTGTATGGTCGTAAGTTCCCCAGGTAATGAAGAAAAGGCTCCGCTTACACCGGGCCCCTCCCCTACTAACGCCCCCCCCCCCCCCCCCCCCCCCCTCGACATCCGTGTGCTCACTCGGATCTGTATCTGAAGTGTCCACGTTGAGGAGGCATCTTCCGCGATATATCATACCCACTTGCTAAGCTCATCAATCACAATCATAGGCCTATTAACTAATAAAGCAGAGTTGATAATACATCGCGCACGGTCCGTCGTATTACTGATAGCTAAGTGCCTGCATTCCTGTACCATCGACCGTGTGTACACAACCGTCACGTGCCAGACATTAGTGTAGGTCAGTCTCCCATAGGGCAGACAAAACCCTGCAGACAAACCCCAACCGACAAAACCCTGCAGACAAACCCCCACCGACAAAACCCTGCAGACAAACCCCCACCGACAAAACCCTGCAGACAAAACCCCACCGACAAAACCCTGCAGACAAACCCCCACCGACAAAACCCTACACTTTCGGGACAACACACAAGTTTTTTTTCTCAACTAAAACCACATTAGTTACATCAGTGTATATAGGATAGTCCAACATTCAATACTTACAGTAAGATGACAATGTATTATTTGAGTTCCATATTAAGGTTCACTGGTGATCTGTGATAATTTCTGGTAATAACGGTTTAGATTTTGTTGTTTAAGAACAATTGACGGTGTTCCCCACACGAGGTTTCCCCCACCTTTTTAAAGATATCATATTAAAAGATAGTGCTCTTTCCCTGTATGCTTTAAGTCAGTGAGTTGTGTGAACGCCCCTTTGGGTAGTATTTCAGTAATGTCACGGCCTATAAGTAAAATCCGGAAGGAAAGCCCAAAGTCGTGTAGGTGCTAGACGATTATCACTTTGATGGAACCCAAAATTTCATCTAAATAGCCGCAACGTTGTCGAGCAAACCAGTAGTTAGTGCAATGAGCACCACCACCCCCAGTCGAGCTCCACCCCCCAAGCCACAACCACCCCTCCCCCGTTGTGATACGTTGACGCACATTGAACCACGTCTTCATCTAAGTAGGCTCATACAGCCAAGCTTTATGACCTGGGGAACATTGCCTGTTCAGAACGCCCAAGGGCACTAGAGATGCATCGTCAATATTGATGTGCAATGAGTAGATTGTTGGCTCAGCGATCTCGAATTATCACTGGTAGTGGACATTGATGACTGAGTAGTGCTAATTTACAAAGCCAGAGATTTGGGTTTATTCCTGTGCTTTTAGGTGCAGAGTTCCTGGTGGTGAAACCTCTGGCGTTGCTTTCACCCCGCCCACGCAGATTACCCAAGTAACCAGGCACTGTGCTCATTTGCATAAACCGGTTCAATTGTTGGTTTGCGCAGCAAGTTATCATCTTTTAACCAAAAAGCGGTGCTCACCAAAATATATGTACCATATCCGGTTGTAGGTGCGCCTGTCCACTCGTTTAGTGAAGAAGTCCGTGACAGTACACCGGCGTCCTTATCATGCGCATACTTATCGTTCTAAGTTTGTCCGCCGGCTGTGATACTGAGAGATTCCAACACGAGTGACTGTCATATGCCATATACATGTATCTTACAACTGGTTTCTAAAGAGCGAAAGGGAGTTAGATACGTTTTGAAACAACTGTGTTTATGATAAATGGTTTATAACATGCAGTGGTACCGTAACTTGTTTCAACACACAACCTTTCAACAAAGGAGTAGGTGAAGCACGAGAAACTGCACGAGATGACCTCAGGTCATCACCAAGGAGGAGCCAATCACAGACCTGGAATTTGATCCACACCTATGTTTGATACCAGTCTCAAATGGGTTTCTCGCTCACAGGTTCGTGAAACACTCACTCACTCACTCACCCGTGAAGATCTGGGTTAGAATAGGTCTAATGCTTGCCGTAAAGGGACTATGCTTGCCGCAAGAGGCGACTACGGGATAGGGTGGTCAGGCTCGCTGACTTGGTTGATGCATGTCATCGTATCCCAATTGTGTGAATCGATGCTCATGATGTCAATCTCTGGAATGTTTGGTCCAGACTCGATTATTTACAGACCGCCGTCATATAGCTGGAATATTGCATCAAACAACAAGCAAACAAACAAACAAACCAACACACTTTAACACAGACTTGCGATAGTCGTGGCACTACGATCGCTTTGTGATATGGGTCCCAGGGCAAAATAAACACCTTTGACACTTGATACTGAATACATCCGACCACAAAAGAGGTAACGGATAGGCGCACAGGTGTGTCCCTTATGGTGCCAGAATGATCGTTAGTTCGAACCCCATATCTGCCCTCCAGACACTTGGATTGTCAGCATCATACCAATACTCGTAGGTTTCACATTCGGTCATCGTAGGTTTCACATTCGGTCATCGTGGGTTTCACATTCGGTCATCGTGGATTTCACATTCGGTCATCGTGGGTTTCACATTCGGCCATCGTGGGTTTTACAAACCCGTACCCTTAGGTTTGACATACCCGTACTTGCGGGTTACATTAAAGTTGTAACAATCTACAGACATAAAGCTGATACGACTTCTTTAACTGATATAATATTCAGAATGTGGTTAAACCAAACTCACTCACTCCAAGCACTAAGTTAAACAAACTAACCACATCACCATTTCACAAAACGATCGTCGCGGTAAGAACAGAGGTCTTAGCAATCCATCGGAAGAGGCGACTAAATGGATAGGGTGGTCAGGTTCGGTGATTGTCAGTTTGTCATCATATCTCAAGTGAGTGGATCGATGCGCATGACAAGCACTGGATTGTATGATCCAGACTCGATTATTTGCAGACCGTCGTTATATGGTTGGAATATTGCCGAGTGTCACAACGAACGAACAAACAAACGAACGGACGGACGAACGAACGAACGAACGAACCAGTATCCAATAACTAACCAACCAACCAACCAAACAAACAACCCAGTATCCTTTTGGTTGATAAGCATTACTTAGAAGTTGACGGATGACCAGGTACACACAATTTATGGATAACAACTTCTTTAATACTGTAAAAAGCGACGTTTCGGTATAGATCCTTATACCGCTGTCTTGCTATACCGAAACGTCGCTTTTTACAGTATTAAAGAAGTTGTTATCCATAAAATTGTGTCTACCAACCTAGTATCCAATATAATTGTTAAAGTTCATTGGTTCTCACTGTCAAAGCGATGCGTAAATAAGTAATTTTCTTTACACCCATTTCGTCAGGACTGCACCACCGCATGCCTTGCGACTTCTTATACATAAAAAACATGTGCGTGTCACTTTAGAGACATGTAAGTCGATACGTGCAAAATCGTTACTTGAGAAAAGACGAGAAAAAAAACCTTCAGTCAAAAACAAACATCCTGAAGTTGTATCGAAACAACATACATCTCAAAATGCACAAACAGTATTGTGTGTTAGCTATTAAATTGAATCTTAAACCCTTGTCCGATGTCTCGGATAACATAATGAGCGCTTGGATAACAGGATGTGAAAGGACATGTAACATATCTCCACGCAGGAGGGAAATATGTCCTATATCCTGTAGGGGGTATTACTGGCTGGAGATATTCCCTGTGAGTGTGAGCACGTGACCCGGATATAGCGCCAGGGTATACATGGGGGCGAGGGAGCACTTGACAGAGGTACAGAGGGGTTGCAGTTGGTGACTATTCCTGGCTGTGGTTTCAAGGATCCATCATATCTGGAATTTCCACTGTGTCAACACTTCGTACAGGTAATTGCTGTCCGTGTAAAATCAACGTGATGTGTAACTAAAATACGTATGACATAGATCTAGGTGTTGTTCGTAGTGGGACCATAGGGGTATTGTCTGACGTACAATGTCACAAATTAAGTTTGAGTAGCATAGCAGTTGGTAGGTGGGTATATATAGACACTGACCTAAGACGATTTTGTTGACTATGCTACCACGAGATAATCTGAAGGGAATACGTCCATGTTTGTCATACACGTTTACTGTCTATCTATCCGCTTCTGTCATGTACAAATACCAATGATCTCAGCTGGCTGTGTGTGTCTACTGAGACATGCTTGGCTTGCCATGCTTGTAGGTATGAACCGGGGCTGGTGCATCACATCTTCATTGACTAAAACTATAATACACCTCCTGTACACAAGGCAACGTGTAGAAACAAACTTGTCCATCGTGTTTGTAAGCCGTAAGGTAAACTCGGATTATATGCTGCTATAAAGATATCTATATATATTTGTCGGTCGTTAAAACTATTACGTATCGTTATTACCACTGTGTGTGAGCGCCGTCTTAACCGCGACGCTCGACCGCAGGCTTCACCACAAACCCGCGCTACCGGAATGTCTGAAGTAGAGTGTCTTCGGGCGTACAATTATGCAACTCTTGAATGTGAGTGTGCACTTAAAGAGCTGTATGTAGCCTTTGTTAAAGTGATATGTCGATAGCGTGTTGGTTGCCGGTACCATTGTGGATTTCTTGCAGGCGAGGTGTGTCAGTCTTGTCGTCATATCGGTACGTAGTGGAGACATTGTGGCCATGTCCGTCGCTCAATAGCAGTGAGTGTATGAATTCATGCCAGGGTTTGGTGTGATGGTGCGTCCTTTGTGATGGTTATGAGTGACTGAAGGGGTGGGGTGGTGAGGGTGAGGCAGATATGTGTCTCCTTGTGACCTGCGTGATTGATCTATCTGGCATTCCTGGTCGTACTCGGGGTACGACGATACACTGACTCAGCCAGACTGCGATGTGTCCAACAGTTGTTTTATGAAGGTCACATCTTACAGGGCCACAGTGCAGCTTTCAAAATGTTTCTTGGTAGACATACCAAGGACATTTCCAAGTTTGACAGATCAGGACAAAGATGATGTCCGACGGAAATCCCTATTTTGACTTGTTCCCCTTGTTCCCGTTGTTCCCGTTGTCCCCCTTGTACCCCTTGTTCCCCTTGTACCCCTTGTACCCCTTGTACCCCTTGTACCCCTGGTACCCCTTCTCCCCCTTTTTCCCGTTGTCCCCGTTGTTCCCCTTGTCCCCCTTGTTCCCCTTGTCCCCGTTGTTCCCCTTGTTCCCGTTGTCCCCCTTGTACCCCTTGTTCCCCTTGTACCCCTTGTACCCCTGGTACCCCTTCTCCCCCTTGTTCCCGTTGTCCCCGTTGTTCCCCTTGTCCCCCTTGTTCCCCTTGTCCCCGTTGTTCCCCTTGTCCCCCTTGTCCCCCTTGTTCCCCTTGTTCCCCTTGTCCCCGTTGTTCCCCTTGTCCCCGTTGTTCCCCTTGTTCCCCTTGTACCCCTTGTTCCCCCTGTCCCCCTTGTACACCTTGTTCCCCTTGTCCCCCTTGTCCCCTTTGTACCCCTTGTCCCCCTTGTACCCCTTGTATCCCTTGTACCCCTTGTTCCCCTTGTCCCCCTTGCCCCCCTTGTACCCCTTGTCCCCCTTGTACCCCTTGTCCCCCTTGCCCCCCTTGTACCCCTTGTCCCCCTTGTACCCCTTGTCCCCCTTGTCCCCCTTGTCCCCCTTGTACCCCTTGTCCCCCTTGCCCCCCTTGTACCCCTTGTCCCCCTTGTACCCCTTGTCCCCCTTGTCCCCCTTGCCCCCCTTGCCCCCCTTGTACCCCTTGTCCCCCTTGTACCCCTTGTCCCCCTTGTCCCCCTTGTACCCCTTGTCCCCCTTGTACCCCTTGTACACCTTGTACACCTTGTCCCCCTTGTACCCCTTGTACACCTTGTCCCCCTTGTCCCCCTTGTACCCCTTGTTTCCCTATGTTCCAACTTTTGTGGTACGGTGCTAAGTAACTATGCTGGATGTAAAAGTCTTCACGAAACAAATATCACGCACTGTTGTCGCCTTTGTTGAAAGCTCTCCCAAACTCGCAAATCTCGTAATACAGGTCGGCATCGGATTAAGGCGGCGTCTCACACTGTAGGAACACAAGGCAGAGTGGGTCAATTATGAGCAAACAAATCATTCCTTCCTTTTGTGGAGTCGGTTTATTAGATGTAAAAATAATTGAGTCAAGAGCTTGGCATAGCAGTGTATATTATCGAGCCCCTAATCGATAATTAATGGCTATAGTCGTGAACGCGTCGAGGTGACACTCATTTAGGTTAACTGCACACGTCTGTCCGGTTGTGTCCACCACTGCCCACGTCTGTCCGGTTGTGTCCACCACTGCACACGTCTGTCCGGTTTTGTCCACCACTGCACACGTCTGTCCGGTTGTGTCCACCACTACACGCGTCTGTCCGGTTGTGTCCACCACTGCACACGTCTGTCCGGTTGTGTTCACCACTACACGCGTCTGTCCATTTGTGTCCACCACTACACGCGTCTGTCCGGTTGTGTCCACCACAGCACACGGAGACGGCGTAACGTCTGGTCTCGGCTACAGCAGGGTGTGAAACATGAAGTGAACTGCACCATGAAAGGATCTGTGTAACATAACGTGATATGTGTAACATTATGTGATATATGTAACATAAAATGATATGTGTAACAGAAGTGATCTGTTACATACAGTGATATATGTAACATACAGTGATATATGTAACATGAAGTGATCTGTAACATAACGTGATATGTGTAACATGAAGTGATCTGTAACAAAACGTGATATGTGTAACATAAAGTGATCTGTAACAAAACGTGATATGTGTAACATAAAGTCATCTGTAACATAACGTGATCTGTTTGACATAAAGTGATCTGTAACAAAACGTGATATGTGTAACATAAAGTGATCTGTAACAAAACGTGATATGTGTAAATAAAGTCATCTGTAACATAACGTGATCTGTGTGACATAAATTGATCTGTAACAAAACGTGATATGTGTAACATAAAGTGATCTGTAACATAACGTGATATGTGTAACATAAAGTGATCTGTAACATAACGTGATATGTGTAACATAAAGTGATCTGTAACATAACGTGATATGTGTAACATAAAGTCATCTGTAACATAACGTGATATGTGTAACATAAAGTGATCTGTAACATACAGTGATCTGTGTAACATAAAGTGATATGTGTAACATAAAGTGATCTGTAACATAACGTGATATGTCTAACATAACGTGATATGTGTAACATAAAGTGATCTGTAACATAACGTGATATGTGTAACATAAAGTGATCTGTAACATAACGTGATATGTGAAACATAAAGTGATCTGTAACATAACGTGATATGTGTAACATACAGTGATCTGTAACATACAGTGATGTGTAACATAAAGTGATCCGTAACATACAGTGATCTGTAACATACAGTGATCTGTATCATACAGTGATGTGTAACATAAAGTGATCTGTAACATAGCGTGATCTGTAACATAGCGTGATCTGTAACATACAGTGATCTGTAACATACAGTGATCTGTAACATAGCGTGATCTGTAACATACAGTGATCTGTAACATACAGTGATGTGTAACATACAGTGATGTGTAACATACAGTGATCTGTAACATACAGTGATGTGTAACATAGCGTGATCTGTAACATACAGTGATGTGTAACATACAGTGATCTGTAACATACAGTGATCTGTAACATAAAGTGATCTGTAACATAAAGTGATATGTAACATAGCGTGATCTGTAACATACAGTGATCTGTAACATAAAGTGATCTGTAACATACAGTGATCTGTAACATACAGTGATGTGTAACATACAGTGATCTGTAACATACAGTGATTTGTAACATACAGTGATCTGTAACATACAGTGATGTGTAACATACAGTGATCTGTAACATACAGTGATGTGTAACATACAGTGATCTGTAACATACAGTGATGTGTAACATACAGTGATCTGTAACATACAATGATGTGTAACATACAGTGATCTGTAACATACAGTGGTCTGTAACATACAGTGACATGTTGTAGAACGACAGGAAGCATTACAGTTCACGTATAGTGGCAGACATTGTCACACGCTGGTGTAGACGTAGATGTATTGCTGGTTACAGACCGCGTGTGTATGTGGTGGCTACTTCGTAACCTGAGAACGTCATGTTCAAGATATCACGTCTTTAGATGGGTAAAAGAAATTGAGGAAAAACTGTGTAAAACTTCCTGGTTGTTGTCAGTGACAGTATCATCACGTGCCAGCTTATTGTGAATTATGTACTCTGACAAACCACACACACACACACCACCCGACACCCACCCACCTCCCCATGACCACATGATCTTCTTCTTGTTGGTATAAATAATATATGACTAATATTCCGATATTAACTTATCATGATCATGTTCAGGAAACGATACAGGATATGATATATTAATTCCATAAAAAAGGAAGATTAATACAAGTACGAGACACATATAGTCGTATCCGGGTCAGATAGCCTGACTCAGCCACTCCTCGTCCCGCTATACAGCTATGTACCATGACTGCAAGACTGCTCTACTTTACATACATATAAAGGAATTCGTTAATTTGTTCTAACGAAGGCTATGTAACTTGCCTCTGCGTGTGTTTGTGACGAGTGCCACCGGTGGGGCAGGATATGCTCATCTTTTCGCGAACACCCGGTATCATCACTAATTGAGAGTGGTTCATAAACACACTCATGATAATGTCGGAGACGTACTGTCGACTCTGCTTCATGCAGAGATTTCCCTTGGTTATGGAAAGGGTTTTGTCGCTTTATCTATATCAGCGAGGGCGAGATGCTCTTATATGATCTTTTGCTATAGTTGCACAAGTTGAACTGTGTTTCACATACCGAGAAGATTAAGGTAAAAGCAGAAAAAAATAATTTGGTCTCAATATAATGGTCAGAAAATATACAATTTCTGAAGTAATGACGTCAATTTGAACGTATGTTGTAAGCATGTACTTGATAACTACTTGTAAAGGGTCTGTTCTGGGCAATATGTGTTAGTTTTTTTCTTTTCAGATTCTTTTTTTATACTGGGTGTTACGCAATTCAACATTGTGACTATTTGCAGCGATGGTGTCGGGTGTCAAAATCATTCAGAGGACACGATGTATGCTTTGAAGCTCTGACAGAAAATAATTATCTTTCTTAAACACAGAATATTAAATTAATCTCAGCGTTATCGTGTTGCACATTATGTCACAATAGTATATTCACCGTGACCTGTCAAATATCAGACCGTTTCAAAACTACAGTCGTATGTTTAGGGATGGGTCGTCTAGCGTCGCCCACCGCAGCGGTAACTCATTCACTAATGCTGAGGTAGTTTCCAACTTTGACTCTGACGTCACGCGACATGACTGACATCACCAGGTGTCCCCAGACACAGGTCACGTGAGCCGCGAGGTCGCTATCTACGTTATCGTTGTAGACTGCCATTCATTGACCCAGTCAAATACCCGGAGTAAGGCACACGTAGGAATTCAGGATAACACCATCAGGTATGGCGGTGTGACGGCAATATGCGATCGTATTAACACTGGAATTATGTTTAAGTTTTTAGAAATTTATAGCGTTCCAGAGCGTTCAGGAATTTATACCATTTCCGTTGAATAACTTTCTTTTTAATAACCCACACTTGTGTTGGATTTGTTGAAAGGCCGAACTGTTTGATCGTGAGTAATCAGATCTATGTACAAGATCATATGTAAGCCAGATTTAGTAATATAATCTTCATAATCTCTTTGTAAGGCCAATACAATGCTAATCGGTGTTACGAAGAAATAATTAATTGAAATTATACAGTTACTGTAGGAGATTGGTAAGGTGCAGGTGAAACCGTATGCCATAACCATGTGTATGCCATAACCACGCTACCATTTTGTTTTGTTATATATAAACAATATGCTAATATATATAATTATATATATATATATATATATATATATATATATTTATAAACCATGTATATGTTAGCATTTTATATATATATATATATATATATATATATATATATATATATATATATATATATATATATATGTATATATATGTATATATATATATCATGTATATGTTAGCATTTTATATATATATGTGTGTAAAAAAACTAAAAACCTAAAAATGATATGTGTTTATATATATATATATATATAACAAAATGCTAACACATAAAATGCTAACATACATATACCACGGGTAGGTGTAAAAAAACCATCCATCTCGAGATGGTTATGGTGTAAGGTTTCACATGAAGGGATTTACCTGTACACACACACACACACACACACACACACACACACACACACACACACACACACACACACACACACATTATATATATAATATATTGGGTGGAAAAGGGGAGGGGGCGTGTCACCTATAAACTGTTTTGTCTTATGCAATGTACACGTGGTCGTGTGGAATCGATGTAAATACTGATCGTTTAGAACGAGTATTAGTCAGTGTCCCGAGGATGACCACACACTATAGTCTATGAAGTCAGTTGCCATCAAGTCGTGTCAGCTTCCCACTGACAGCGCCGACAGGTACTTCAGGCATGTCAGCAATGTCAGCTGTACCCATGGTGTCATTATTGTCATGGCAACGTATGCCGGACGGCATGGCTACACTGTAGGAATGAGAAACTGTCACAACTTCAGAACTATCTATAGTCTAGATTCATTCTCACTCAGCAGAGGTGTTAGTTCGTGACGGATTTGGAACGCGAGTGGGTCGGGGGTCAGTGAATCATTCTTAAGTTCGTCTTTAACTTTATTCCAGCAATATCCCCAGAAATGACCGTCAGCATTGTATCAGTGTCGCTTTAGTCACTAGACCACACGCTCCCCCACAACACTCTCCCACAGTCCCCTGTGCGTATCTCACGTGTCACGTGGCAAACCCATACGTGTATTCAATCTATCTCAGTCGACATGGCTGCCATACGACCAGTCTATGACATTTATATGAACATTTAGCCAGTGACTCGTTAAAACAAACACATATATATGTATTTCTGTCGTGGGATTTATCATAATCATCATCACCATCACCACCACCATCATCATCATCATCACCGTCGTCGTCGTTATTATTATTATTATTATTATTATTATTTACAGCTTTATATTAATAATGCAAAAATTGATGAAATAGATAAACATGAGCTATGTATATGGAGGAGATATAACTCGTGTGTCAGCAATACTCATTGTACGTGTTGTCACGGCTGTCTAGTCATCTATATTACCCTGCACATACGTATTAAAGTTACTATAGATACGTGACACGCGCCCGCCCACGTCTGTTACATCCGTCACTGTATAAAAATGTAATTGCTGACGTGAGTATATCGACATTTGGGCATGCTAATGTGTATACAAATACATATTGTTGGCGTTGACCTGACATGGACGTATCACTGCCTATTGCTGACATATAAGTCTGTGACACGCATGTTTGGTCTTGATGTGGTGGTGTACAACCGATGAACTTATCTAGAGTTCACGCATGTAAGTAAAACATAATAGGCTTTCAACGTGCCGGGTTACAAGTGGTTGCAGGTTACAAGTGGTTGTTTCCTTTCGCTGCGTCTCATGATATCATAAACACTCATAATGGCAATGTTTTAATATATACCGATGTGTTGACAGGTTATTTTGTGTTTCAGTCCACGCCATGACACCCGGTGTTTAGAAGCCAGCACGACATTATGATACCTGCCATTGAGATGGAAACACCCAGGACGATGAACACAAGCACTCCAGACCCTCTCGGCGTAACTGCAGCGACGTCAGACAACACCTCCTCCAGCGAGTACGACTACAAGCACGACGGACATGGTCTGTTCAAATGGCATGGCGCTGAGATCCTGTTCCTTGTCATCATATTCCTTGTGGGCACCGTGGGCAACGGCCTCGTCATGTACATCTACCACTTCCGGTGGAGACGGTCTAACTTCACCTTCTTCATCAAAGTCTTGGCGGCCATCGACTTCTTTAACTGTGTAGTGTCAGTGCCCTTGTTCTTCGTGATGACCGTCGACGGGAGTCATTCGGCGTTCGACCCGTTGTGCAAGACGACGTCGTTTATAGCAATATCCAACGCGGTGTCTTCAGCCGTGGTGCTGACAATTGTTGCCTTTGACAGAAACAGAAAGATCCACAGACCACTGAAACATGAGATTCGTGAATCAAACACCCGGAAGCTGGTGGTGTTCGCCCTCGTTATAGGATTACTAGTGTCTGTTCCTGGTGTCTTCTCGTTTGGAAGTAAACATACGCGGTATAGCGAGAACGGTAATATTTTCAACATCACCTGGTGTTTCTTCTCGGACGAGAACCTCGGTAGTACCCTGGTGTACGTGTACGTCGCTGTTCTCGGTGTTGTGTTCATGGTGATCATGATGGCCATGTCGTCGCTGTACTTCTCCATCTGGAGAGCTCTTCGGCTTCACCTTCAGAGGAGGGAATCTCTTGGGTGCCACCGGTCCTCAATTGGCATGACCAAGAACGGAAATTACTACAGATCTCAAAAGACTACAGCGAAATTATTCTTCATCATAACTGTGGCATTCTTTGTGAGTTATTTCCCGTATTATATCAGCATTGCAGTATTTCTGATAGACGATTACAAACATCAGTTGACATCACTGAAGAAAGCCTTCGCCGACATTGCCAAACTTGCGCCGTTGGCCAGCTGTGCTATAAACCCTCTTATATATAGTATATCCTCAGCTCGATTCAGGAGAGAGATCGCTCAGATCTTTAAACGCGCTGGGAGGACATCAGAAGCGAAGAAGAAGATTCTGTTCAACTCACTCAATAGCCAAGAACAGGCAGGACAGCTCCAACTGAAGCACTCCCGCTCACAATCCGGCTCTTCATTCGGACTTAAGTCGGTGTCAAATGACCAGATTGTGTTTGGAAAGATCAACATTCCTACTACTGAGAAACAATCTTACTCTTGAGCGCTGTATGTGACAGAGACATGGTAGACACAGAGTTCTATATTTTTCTACAGGGGTCATGATCAAAGCCAGTCGTTGCCTTCCATCCTCATCTCCGACCATGGGGGTCCATTCCTCCATGTTTCCATTTGCTGTGACGTCTTAAAATAACCCAACGATCACAGAAGCTATTTATTAACAGCGCTCTGACTACTATAATCTATGCAGATATGTTAAAGACGCCTTATTTAATGAAAATATCTGACAATATCTTACATACCGATTCCGTTTGTTTGCAAGTGTTAAAATTGTTTTTTCAACTTGAAAAAATATTCTTAATATCTAAGAACATGGATGCTGCAATGTTTAAAGCTTGTAAACTACCATGTCAGAAAGATGCAATTTGATTGGGTAGAATGTTGGCTGCTTCTCAACTTAACAAGGCCGCTATTGGACAAGATGGTTATATTAGGAGGCGAGTAACGTTAACACGGCTCGCCGCTTGCTACATCCAGTATGTACAGTGGAAATTTTGCTTGACGTCGAATGATGTGCATAATTTTTATTTTCATTTTACATGTGTTTTCTATCACGTGACAGATTCTTATAAAATCTCTTTTTCATATTTTGTTTTTTTCTTTTATATCCAAATAAACATCTACAATCATTGTTTCAAAACATGGAGTCTAAGGCAGACGTTGTTTGACTCCGCAGGCAGCGATATCTAAGCAATGTCACCGCAATATTGCCAAGATAACACCGCAAAATCACAGCCATACCACAGCAATATCACCGATGCCGGTTGGTAATTAGTCAGGGAAACTATTGGTTGATAGTGACTGAGTTAGTTTGCTCAACACCAATATTACAACCTCATAACCGAGGAGCAAGCCAGAAATGGATTTCACTCTTGGTGCAGTTATTTGGGAATCGAACCCAGGTCGTAGGCGTAGCGAGCTGGCACTTTAAGGACAGGACCACCCGACCGCCCACAATGGTTGATAGTAACGCTGTCGGGATACGGTAACACACGACGAGGTCAAAAACTGTGATGGTTGGTTGGTTCGTTTGTTGTTTAACGCCGCACCTAGCAACATTCCAACTATATGGCGGCGGTCTGTAAATAATTGAGTGTTGACCAGACTATCCAGTGATTAATATCATGAGCATTGATCCACGCAATTGGGATCGATGACATGCATCAACCAAGTCACAGAGCCTGACCACCCGATCCCGTTAGTCGCCTTTTACGACAAGCATAGTCACCTTTTACGCAAGCATGGGTTGCTGAAGACCTATTCTACCCCGGAATCTTCACGGGTACAAACACTGTGATGACTCAATCCGCATGCTAATCACTCCCGCCGTCACTGCAGCTGGGGACCCGTGGAGATTCCGGGTGAGAATGTCGTAAGACACATGGATCGGGTGTCAGGCGAGGTGCCTTGGTTGTTGTCATCGTATCCCAATTGCGTGGGTGGGGCGGTGGGGCAGCGTTCGCTCGTCACACCGAAGACCCGGGTTCGATTCCCCACATGAGTATAATGTGTGAAGCCAATATCTGGTGTCCCTCGCCGTCCTATTGCTGAAATATTGCTAAAAGCGGCGTTAAACCATATTCACTCACTTACTCACCCAGTTGCGTGAATCGATCCGCATGATCTCAATCACGGGATTGTCCGGTCCAGACTCGATTATCCAGAATATATCTGGAATATTGTTGAGTGCGGCGTCAAACAACAAACAAATGTAGCCGAACACCTACTATAGGACTGTAATGATAGTACGTATGCCGCTGAATAAAACGATACTCAAATGTATACACTAAACCCAGCCATGGTATGTCATAGAACTATCAGGTCAGTTCGCCGACATTCTATGATGCCGACATGCATAGATAAACCTAGTCACAATATATATCTAAGGGGGCGGCATACACCCTGTGAGTGAGTGAGTGAGTGAGTGAGTGAGTGAGTGAGTGGGTGAGTGAGTGAGTGAGTGAGTGAGTGAGTGAGTGAGCGAGCGAAGGTCGGGGTTTCAGAAGCCACAGAGAGATCACATTGTACCTTGGAGTGAGTGCATTGGGGTTTCCCACCAAGCTTGGATTTCACACATTTAACCCAACATGCTCCATAGATTTTGAAGTTCAACCATTATAGTACAAGCCCAAACACAATTTCATGGCAGTGTGGATGAATTAGCAAACTGCCATCAAACACACATGGAGACATAACTGTCACTTTTCACCACAAAAAAAAATAAAAAAATATGAAGATGAAGAAAGTCTGACCACCCGGTTTGTAATCGTCCAGCCTGTCTGGACGCCCGAGGAGGTCACACCAGATACTGATGCCATTACCGAGTTGCTATGGGAAATGTAAATGTGCTAAGACTGACAATATAAGTTTGACAATAGAGGGATTACTAAAACCTGCTAGACACAGGCAGTATATGGCAGTGAATCAGGGTCTTAGACTCGAGTAGGACAAACTATACTGATACGAGTTGCGCATCTTCTGGGAGGTCTTATGCTTGTCGTGAACAATGAATGCGTCTGTGTAAGATAGATAGATAGATAGATAGATAGATAGATGGATGGATGGATGGATGGATGGATGGTTGGATGGATGGATGGATAGATAGATAGATAGATAGATAGATAGATAGATAGATAGATTGTCTTATTGCTACTGTTTACCTGGGTCATTTTAAATTAGACGAAGCAGGTTGATACCGTTTGAACACGGCACCTCATAGATGACGTCCAACAGCGCACGGTCCAGCTGTTGTGCGTTGTTCGCCAAGTTTGAACTTCCTTGGCCCCAGATGATCCCAGAGATGTTCTGTCGGTGAGAGGACGGATGGGTGTGGCGCCAGGACAACATGGGTGTGTTATTGATGCTGAGAAAGTCCTGGATTATTTGAACAGTGTAGGACCTGGAATTGTTCTGTTGGAGCAGCATCACCTGCAGCCGTCCTAGAAAGGGGAGACAACTGGCTGACACCCCTGTACAGTTGGGCGTTCATAATCCAACGCCTGATGACAAGACCTGTCTTCCTTTCACCGAAAATCCCACCATCCACCATTACGCTACCGCCTCCAAACATGTCATTCTTTTGGATGCATCTTGGAGTCAATCGTTCGCCTCTCCATCGATACACCCGCATCCGACTACAGGGTGGCAGCCTACTCTCGTCGTCGAACAGTACCCTTGTCCAATGACGTCGCTGCTAACGCCGCACAGTTAGGTATCACTGACTGAGTAATTCGAGGATGTGTGCAGGCCTTTCAGCGATGGGGGTCTGTACGTCCGAATTCCTGCAGGATGTGGTCGTCATGTGTCTGCTGGTGCGGAGTACCGAACCTGTCAACGCCGATGACGTCATTTAATCATTATGATGGTGGGTATTATGAGGGGTATGGCAATAATATGACTTGACACCATCATGAATAATACTGTAAAAACAATTCATTACTCAAGGAGTGTTCATCCTTGAAAACATTGGCTTCATGTCAGTTTATGATGTTTGCAAAATGTAAAACTTAATACAAATGTTAAACGTCAGTGCCAGAGAATAACCAGTCTCGATTATCCGCCAAAACAGATTCTATTGGGCGTAAAGTAAAAAAAGGTGAAAATTATATGAATGCATCACTGAAAATCAGTGATGACACCAGGTGTTCGCGACAAGGGTAAGCCCGCCCTGCTCTATCGGTAGCTCCCGCCACTCACAATGTGCATACACAAGTAAGTGTTTTATACCTGACGCGCACAGCAGGACTCGTCCCGACGACGAAAGCAATGTGTTTTCAAAAAACATATTTATGGCTTCATGTAGTCTGTCATATAGACCCTGAGACAAATAAATTTATATCCAATACAGCCCATGCAAGTCTATAATGTTTGGTAAGTCTAGCTTACTGCAGTATCAGTATCTGAAAATGAAGAAAGTCTCTGGGCTCCTGTTTATTATATTTTATAACTATAATTTAACAACTGTTATTTCTGTAAAATATGTTCCTTTCAGAGACAAGATGTTAGTCGCTCTATTTATGAAATACGTATTTTCAGTGTATAGTATCAAACCCCGCTCAACTGTTTTGGAAAATAAACTTTCATGTCTAGACTTCTTTTCAATCACATTACATTTGGCATCAATGAATTTTGAGAACGTGAGGGAGAAAGTTACTGTGTCATAAGGACAAAGCACCCAGCATAAATATAAATATTCAGATGACCATTAAGTTTGTTTGTCCTGGCAATAAATGGACTGTTCCCTGAAGGTGAAATGGAACAATTCCCTAGGATGCATGTATACAGAATGTGCATGGGTAGTCTTTTGTGGGCTGCCTCCGTGGTCTAGTGGTAGAGCGTCCGCCCGGAGAGCGGAAGGTCTGAGGTTCGATACCAGGACGCGTCTTACAAAAAGACGTTAAAAGATGGTACTTGTTGTTACCCTGCCTGGCGCTCGGCATTAAGGGACTAAAACATGGACTGGTCGGCTCGGAGTCAGAACACTGTGTCTGAGTGGGGTATTAATGTTAAACTGCGTCATGGTATCTCAGTGGGCTAGCATGATAACATCGGCATCAGTCCGGACTAGTACAAGCAGCCACACACACGTGCATGCGTGTCGCTATATAAGTGCAATAATCTTGGACGCGACGTTTAACCCCATTTCACCTCACCTTGTTTTGTGTCCAGGCAGATGGCGCTGTTGTTGATGTGGATCGTCTGACAAGGGACAGTTACAGGAATAGTGGCAAGGGTTGTCTCCCCTTTCATGTACCGGAGTATTACCTGTCATTGAGCTCTTTTATCTTCTCCATCGATTTCCGTGTCCCTTGCCATCACCAACCCTCATCTACTGAACGATGAAGGTTGATGCTTCTCAACAATATACTTAAAACACCCGCTTTAAAGGCAATGGAAACTTTTAATTTCCTTTTATGGCAGACAGTTGAGACATGTTTGACAGTTGAAGCATCCTGTTTGATTAGATCTAACTGTGTATTTTCCAATCTGCGGGAGATGCTGTAACAATGTTGATGACATGTCCAGGAGAAGATTTCCCACAGTAGCACAATGATTTCAGACAGCCTCCGTGATGTAGTTTATAGAGCGTCTACCAGGAGAGTGTAAGGTCAGTCTACCCGGAGAGTGTAAGATCGGTCTACCCGGAAAGTGTAAGGTCGGTCTACCCGGAAAGTGTAAGGTCGGTCTACCCGGAGAGTGTAAGATCAGTCTACCGGGAGAGTGTAAGGTCGGTCTACCCGGAGAGTGTAAGATCAGTCTACCCGGAAAGTGTAAGGTCGGTCTACCCGGAGAGTGTAAGGTCGGTCTACCCGGAGAGTGTAAGATCAGTCTACCGGGAGAGTGTAAGGTCGGTCTACCCGGAGAGTGTAAGATCGGTCTACCCGGAAAGTGTAAGGTCGGTCTACCCGGAGAGTGTAAGATCGGTCTACCCGGAGAGTGTAAGGTCGGTCTACCCGGAGAGTGTAAGATCGGCCTACCCGGAGAGTGTAAGGTCGGTCTACCCGGAGAGTGTAAGATCAGTCTACCGGGAGAGTGTAAGGTCGGTCTATCCGGAGAGTGTAAGATCGGTCTACCCGGAAAGTGTAAG